ACAGGAACACACCTGAGGGCCACAGGAACACACCTGAGGGCCACAGGCCTGCAGGTGAGCCTCACCTGTCCACGTTCTTCAGCTGCACGTTGGGAACCGTGTTGAACTTGTGCTTCTTGAAGTAAACCTCCTGCAGGAGACAAGAACAGAACCAGAGAACGACATTTAGTCCTCGTCAGCTCAAACAGGAAGTAAGAAAATAAAGTTCAGGTCAAAGAGTTTTTTAATTTAAAACAAAATTTGAGGCTCTTTATTGTTTGTCAGTGAAAGAAACAAAAAACTGGACTAAAGATTTTCATTTCTCACGATGAGTGCTAAAAGAACTTGGGCTAGTAAAATGTAGCTCAAGGCTAGCTAAAAGCTAGCTTTAGCGAACATAAGGAGAGGCAGTAGCTGCGATGTTTTAAACAGATTCAGTTCTTGAAGGGAACCGGCTGCAGGTGCTGTCAGCGCTGCAGTGAATTTATTTCCGGCCCGTTTGAGTTCTGAAACCGTAAAACGTTTCGTTTCTTACGTGGAAGTATCCGTTCATGTTGAGGCCGATGATGCCGAAGTGGTAGGAGCGGGACACATCGGGGATCACGCACTCTCGGCCTTTTCTCTGCTCGGGCATCCTCATCCACATGTCCCAGTCCCACAGCTGCAACACAGACACTTTGACCCGTTAGGCCCGGGGGAGTCAGGACCAGGACCAGGTCGTTCTGCTGGGTTTAAGGAGCGGATCAAAGGAACAGTTTCTAACTGCTGCTGCTCATTTAAACCGAACAGGAGGTTCTGCTGGAACACCAGCCAACCTTTGGACCGGAACAGACAAACAGCTAAACTTCTGCAGGTCATTGTTCAGTAAATAAAACCAGATGCTCCTCCACCTTCTCGGGCGTCGGCCACTTGGGCTCCAGCTCGTCCTTGTAGATGCTCCTCTTCAGCACCCAGCCCAGACCGGGCATGCTCTCCACCCTGTAGAGGAGGGCGGGGTCTTCGGCTGTGTGCTCGTAGCCCTGCCCGTCAACAAACAAACAAACAAACAGAGTTAGAGCAGGAACACTTCCTGTAAACATCACCCCCACAGGACCCGCGGGTCAGAACGCACCTGGTCGTTCCAGGCTGAGATGCAGTACAGGCTGTCGTCCTGATCCAACAGGTGGAGGGTCTGACTCAGGAAGCTGCAGCCAAGAACACAGACGGGTCAGAACACGGGTTGGAGCACGGGTCAGAACACGGGTCGGAACACGGGTCGGAACACGGGTCGGAACACGGGTCGGAACACGGGTCAGAACACGGGTCGGAGCACGGGTCAGAACACGGGTCAGAACACGGGTCAGAACACGGGTCAGAACACGGGTCAGGACCCTGACCCACGTGAAGTGCCAGATTCAGGACAGAGACGCAGGGAGCGGCTTTAACCTCCTGCTGCCCTGGGGTCAACACGACCCACGAGGCCTCAGTGGGTCGTGTTGACCCCAGGGCAGCAGGAGGTTAATA